CTGGCTGATAGATATATTCCCAATAGGTTGCAAATTATCAATAGAAGGAATCACAGGATTATGCTCATAGACATCATTTCTTTAAAATGAAATTACGACTACTCGTCGTCGTCGTTCCCTATAAGTTCAGTTGGGAAACAAAAACACCGATATTTCAATGAATCGGTTACCAAGCGGATTGGGGACCTCCCAAGTGACGGACCTCCAGCGCGTGGTCACAGAATCAAATCCTGAGCCGACTGTCGCCTTCGCCAATTATGTTTTCCATTGCAAATCGAATGCATCCAGTGCATAACACCAAAACGAGTTGATGGACGCCCAGCAACACCATCTATATCTTTCAACTCAATCATTTTCTCACTTTTCCCTTGGAAAATAGTGGATGAAATTTCTTTAGGCTTCGTGTTGTACAGCTAATTATACTGGGTTTCACACATTTGCCCCTCCATTACTCCTTTCAAAGTCGTCCTTTGTGGGTCATCATTTTGCTACCTTCACTTTTTTAACAGTAAACTATCTAGTCAAGCGTGGAATCGCTTCTAGAGAGCAGTAGTGAATTATCTCCAACCCACCCCTCCCCTTGTTCGGGATTTCCAATATATGAGCAGTGAGCGGGAGTGTTCCAATTATTCTATCTGTAAAGGTTGCTAACTAAGTCTGTTAGCATTGGCGAGTTATGAACAAACATCGGCCTCGCACGGGACTCGAACCTGTACGTGTGCTATTCGGGCACCGTTACAGCAGTCTACAAAACATCAATTCTATTGACATTGAATATTTTGTTACTCACTGTTGTTTGCCGTTTCAGTGAACCCGAACAATTGATTCACCGACCGACATATCACAACGAGCAAGAACGGAAGCGACAGTATCGTATAGCCCTCAATTTTTTCAACAAGTGAGTCAATTTTTTCCCTTGTTTTTGTATGGATTTCACTTCATACGATTACAGAAAGCCCGAACGGGGGGTGCAGTTGTTGACTGCTTGGCGATTCGTGGATGATTCGGCAGAATCGCTGGCAAACTTACTCTTTGGTAGGCGCGGTCTCAGCAAGCAAATGATCGGCGAATACATAGCAACGTTACACTCAACGTTCCATTCATGTGTATTGAAGTGAGTCATCAGAGATTTTCATTTCGTAATCAAACCCGAACTAGTATTTGCTATTCATCTGATCTACAACACTGATACACTGTCGTTGTCATCACTTACTCACTAGTTTTCCAGTTCTCCCTGCAAACAGGTTCTACAGTAGTTGGCAGTAAAACATCATGTTCAGATACTTCATCGGGCAAATCGACGTTCGTGGAATGGAAGTTGACGTAGCACTCCGAAAAGCGATGCAGTACTTTTTCCTACCGAAAGAAGCGGAAAAAATAGACAAAATTATTCAAGTATGCCCATTATCTGATTTACTTACTGTACAGAAAGGAGTTAGGAGTTTCCCACTTTATTTTGTGTATCCATTCAGGAGTTCGCCCAGCACTACGCCAAGTGCAATCCGAAGCGAACGAAGCAATTCAGAGGAGGCTGGGACACGATTCATATGATCGCCTTCGCAGTCATTATGTTGAACACGGACTTACATTCACCCAATCTCAAGGTGA